TTAGGATACATACAACACACACACACACACACACACACACACACGCACACATGTGCCACTGAGCGCGTACTTTGAATCCAGTTTATGAGTTTTTATGGCTGCACGCAGCGGGCCCAACTGGCGCTGCGGCGTCTCTTTATGACTGCATACACCACCTTTTTCAACTTTGGCTACCGCATCCACATCCGCATCCATCTCTCTCGCTCTCCTCTGTATCCTCTATGCTTCACTTCGTCTGCCAATCCTCCGCCGCAAAAAAAAGAAAGAAAGAAAAAAACTTACGCACAAAATGTGCGTGCCCAATAAACTGTGTTGCCACACAGCATTTTCGCATATTCTAGCTGCGGATACTTTGATTTCCTCACGCATTGTGCAACGCAGGAGATTTGATTTATACAAGCAACAACTGATGGAAATATTTATAGTCGATTTGAATAAATTTATTATGTTGTTATTTTAGAGATTGCAATCAGCTAACAAAAAGAGAGCTTTAAGTGTGACCAGATTAAACAGACAAACAGTGTTGAATATAGATAATTAAATGTTGACTAAGCATATTCCAATAATAACAACAGCTGATGAGTGTGAAAAGGCTCTAAATATCATATAATATTCATAAGGTAAGTAATCGAATGAGTATAGAAACTTTCAGCTGACGTAAAATTTATTTAAATAAAAACAGAAATAATTAGCATTATTAGCATTAGTATATAATATATCTGATGAGAGTCGAATATAGTCTTTCAGTAAAATAAGGAAATTTTTATAGAACTTTAGAGCCAATAAAATATTTTTTAAATACAATCAATAAAATCGATATACCATATACTTCGAAAATTGGTACAAATTAAATTCAAACGATTTATATAAATAAAAAAAATAAAAAACTTTAAGTATTGGCAAAAATTTTTATTATTAAACAACTAACAACAAGCATTAGTATATAATATATCTGATGGTCTTGCAGCAAAGTAAGAAAATTTTTATAGAGCTTTAAAGCAACAACTTCTCAGAAAATTGTGAAAAATGAAATGAAATTATTAAAACAAATTTGATTTCATAATATTTAGTAAAATAATAAAAATACTTAAAATATTGGCAAAATTATTTATTATTAAGTAACTATAAAACGCAAATTTTTATAAAAATTGAAATTTCTTAAAAAGAGTTTCCAACCTAAACAGAGTATTCAAAGCTTCGGCAATTCATGAACACAGACAGGCAGTGAGAAAGAGTGAGTGAGAGGGAATTCGAATGATACCTATTCAATCTTATTTCTGGAGCAGTTTGGTTGTCTGGCTTAAAGTTAAAGCAGCATCAACAAAAGTTAAACGCACATCAAAAGCCAACTAATTTGGCTGTAAAAATAACATTAAGTCACATTCATTTCTCCTGCTGGGCAATAATAAACAAGTAAGAAGGCTCTAGTCGAGACTGCTCGACTAGGAGATACCCTGAACCCCCTAAGCTGATATTTTAATCATTCTGCACTTTTATGCACACATACATACACATGCATCCACACGCACGCATAAGCCTGCGCTCTGCTAACTGCGCAGTAAGCAGCGACTGGGCTGCGCTGCAGTGTGGGCAATATTATGAGAATTTATTTGTTGAATAATTTCTTTTGTAAACATATGATCTTAATGAAACTTTCAGAGTGTAATCATATGGTGAATATGTGTGTACATTCCAAAGCACAAGTCTCTAGTACTTGAAATGCGTTTTTTACAAATTGGGGGAGAAGGGGGCGTGGTATCCAAAATCTGTAAATTACAAAATCTTTGTATCGATTAACTTTATATACAACGCGAATTTGAAGACTCCAGTCTTAAAAATGTTCAAATTAGGCTGAAAAAACAAAATCAAATTTTCGATTATTCTCGATAAAAAAGTTATCGGACGATTTATCGAAAAAATAAAGCAAACTCGTACTGCGTATGGTATACACGAGTATGCATGCCAAATTTCAGCTCTCTAGCTCTTATAACTTCTGAGATCGACGCACTCATACGGACGGACGGACGGACGGACGGACGGACGGACGGACGGACAGACGGACAGGGCTATATCGACTCAGCTCGTCGCGCTGATCAAGAATATATATACTTTGTGGGGTCTGCCACGCCTCCTTCTGCCCATTACATACTTTTTCACAAAACCATTATACCCTGATTTCCCATTTTCAATGGGTTCAGGGTATAAAAAAAAGAGACGAGGTGGCAGAGGAAGACAAATGCTTCGCCAAAAATCGAACACATGCACAGCACAGCAAGGGGAGCTGCTCTACCTTAGTTGGGCCACCTTCGATTCCTGGCAGCCAACCACCCATACATGCGACGGGGTCTTTAAGCTTATGTTGCACTTGACTGATTTTTATGCTTTGATGCTCAATGATTTTATTATTAAAAGCAACTGTCGTCGTCGTTGGTTTCTGTGGGGTTGCCCGCTGCTTCTGCTTCCTTTTTTTATGTTTCGTGAGGGGTTTCGTGAGCTACAAAAAATAAAGGAAAGAGTCCTCGCTGCATGGCACACAAAAAAGGGATACAACAACAATAGCTTGAATTGCTGCAAAATTGCTGCTGCTGCTGCTACTCCTGCTCCTGCTCCTGCTGCTGTGGCTGCCTCTGTGGCACTGCCACTTCACCTTTGCTTTGTGCTGTGGATGCCACACTTGGGAGTCGCTTAGCTGTCTAAATATGTCACTTGAATTTGACGACGGCCACTTGCGCAAAGGCTAAGCCAACGAACCACCCACACACACCCACATACCCACAGGCATTCCAAAACTGTTGCCTTCATATCATGCACTCACATATGTAAGGGAAACCATCCCCCCACTAACACCATCGCATCCAACCACCCTGGCGGTGGCCGTGTCTTGTTTTCTTAAAATATTAGTTTCCTTTTGGGTTCGCCGTTTTTCTGACTTTGTCTACGCGTTGCGGTGGGAGGGAAAATTGTTTTACTGCTTTTTATTGTCATTTTTGTTATTTTCCCGCTCACAATCTGTATATGCCTTAGTGTGTCTGTGTGTGTGTGTGTGTGTGTGCCATCTTCATTTTACTTCCTTTATTTTTGTTATTTTTTTTTTTTTTTTTTTTTTTTTTTTTTTTTTTTTTTTTTGTTGATACTGTCTCTACCTTTGTCTGTATTTGTGTCTGGTGTTTGCTTTGACTCAGTTACATCTAGCAACGAGCACGGCCAAGAGCAAGTTGTCATGAATAATGAAAAAGCAACGTGAATACATTTCTTCCACTCACACACAGTTGACTGTGTGTGGAAATGGGAAATTCGTATGTATCGCAGCAGCCAACACTAGAAAAACTTTCGAGTGAAATACACGCATACATGCATCCATTGTTTTCTTGTTTACTCAGCACAAACAAATCCAATAAGATACCTTAACTAACATTCCAATATTGTTGATTTATAAAGATTAACAGAGCTAATGCTAACTTCAATCAAGTCTTACAGTGGCAATCAATGAAAAATTTTTTTTTAATATTATTTATTAAATAATTATTTTATTACTTTGTATCTAAATAAGTATTTTTTGATTAAAATTTAGTATCACTTTTATCAGTCTTTAATTACCATTTATAGAATTCTTTTATTTTCCATTTCCACTATTTAAGAATTACTCCACAATTATGTTCAGTGCACGGCCAAAAGAACAGACCACCTTTGGGTATTGTTCTGCCAATAGTCAGCATACAACACCCATCCAATATAGTCAATTGCTAATTCAGTAACAGTAACAGTAGCAGTAAATGTAACAACAGTAACAGTAACAGAAACAGGCGCAGACGCGAGAAGAAGCTGCTTTGGCTGTGTTTTCTATTTGTTCTGGGCAGTCATTGTCACAGCCACTGGCCAAGTGTGTGTATATATATATGTGTGTGTGTGTGTGTGTGACTTGGTTTCCTCTCGCATATAGATTTGCCTTATTTACTGTTCATTGCCAGCGGGCGTGCTCATAGTGGAAGAGGGTGTGAGAGGGTGGGTGTGTGGGTGTCTGCCATCCTTAACCTTAAGCTAGTCGCAGTGAAACACTAGAAATCCAGCCGTATTCCGCCTTGCGTGCTCGCCCTTCTGCTGCGCACATATTGATGATGTGACCCTCGACAGAGTTTTCACGTACTGTTGTTGTTTGCATTTCAAATTCGCTGCGCACTCGATGAGAAAATCAAAATCAACAAAGCAAATAAACATTTATTAAAGCGCAAAAGTGTCAATAGATTTCTGGTCATTCGACTCGGGGCGTAGCGAAGGCGCTAAAGAGCAAGGGCAGGGGGCCAGACCAACTAAATTGGCATGCTAATTAAAATGGTCTGCCCAGAACTTTAAACGAACTCCCAGCCTCGCAACGACAGCCGCTGTGACAAGCCGAAGCTGTCTGCTTAATGAAAAACTTTGGAGCTCAGCTAGTTCAATTTCTGGTTAATGTTGAGCGAGCCAACTGAAAAATAAACAAAACACGCATCACGCCCAACCAACTTGGCCAAGAACTCAAAAGTTCCCCAAGCTCTGGCAGCCAAAATGCAATTTTGGCTAAGCCATAATGAGTCCCGGAAGTGGCTGAGCATAGAGAAACAACACAAAATAAGAGGAAATATGCATTAAACAAGACTGAACGACTAGCAGATGCCTTGGGGCACAATAAAATAAAGCTAATACTGTCTGCGTAAAAAAAATATAGATATATAATTATATATGCATGTATGTACATGAATATAATCAAACAAAAAATATTATTGTAAAAGCCGAATCTGAGTACATTTAAAATATCAATTTAATTCCATTTTAAATACATTTCAAAATTATTTTTATATTTATATATTTAATAATATTTATATGTATATATTATAATATTTTTATATTTTCTGATTTGGTTTTAGCAGGAATCTTAAGCCTATATAATAGATGACCTCTTTCGAAACCTTTATACTATCCATTTGCATATTATTTTTATCCTATTTAGATATGAGATAGTAGTCCCCGACACTTTTGTCATTTCTGTTCATAAACAGTTAATCACCTGATTACACAATACATATACCTACCTATACACACTGACACTAATATATACCAATACTCCTGTAAACCTCTACACCTTTATATTGACACTAATACTCTCACACCTTAATTCTTCCACACATTTATGCTGCTACACCTTTACACTCCTATACCTTTATACACTTATATATACTATGAACTACCTATATGGCGTAACAGACACGAAATTCAAGCATAGGATTCGTCCTAAAAAAGTAATTCCGATTCCACCACCCAAATTTCGTCGTACTCCTCTCTTGGAAAGGCAAGTCCACTTTGATCATTCCCTGTGGCCCTTGCCATTCCATCACTCGCCCACACCTCTGCTCGAGCTATGTATTGCTGCAGTCGATAAGTTGCCCTTGACGTCGGTCTTTGAATGGGACTGCAAGGCTGTACGACGCTGGCTTCTTAACTATGGATATCCCCAATACGTGGTGAGTTGATAAGAAAATGGATGCCAACAGCTGAATCGATCACAGAGTAGTTTATTAAATTCACAGAACACATTTCATGTGAATGGGATCAAGGGCCGAAAACTCCTGTTACTGGATGCTGCCGCGCTATCGGAAATGAATATCAAAGACTTCGACCACATCAAACACATTACCTATGGCATCCGGATGCTGATTCACTTTGAGCTGACCAAATTCTCGCACAGTATTTCTATGCCGGACGAGAAGCCCAACGAGCTCTACTTGCTATGGCACACGCAGACGGGCGTTAACTATGATGCATTCCGGCGCTCGGACTTTTATACTCGCATGAAGCTGATTCGCGAACGGTCCAAGAACTTGGATCACTGGGATCTCCTCGAGCTGTGGCTGCGTAGGGAACGTGAACGCAAGTTCAAGGAGCTGATTGGGGGCATGCCGCGCTTCAACTTGTACATCGACATATTTCCCAGCAATTCCCTTGAAGAAGAACCTGCGGATGTGCCAGCAAATGAAACGGTTGATTTCCTCTGTATCACCCCATCTGAATACGATGCCCAGCAGCCTTGGCAACTAAATTTTCTGAAAAATGTTGAGCCGAGTCCGAAATTGGGCTCTGAGCATGAGTTAAAGCATTGCAGCACCTGTTTTCCGCCGTGCGAGTGCGATTGGTCACCCCGTTACTATGTGAACGGCACGGTGATCTCATGTCTGAAGCGAAAGTTCCCCAAGAAGTTTGCACCGCTCTATGAGATGTATGCATTAAGTTGGCAGGAAAGCGTGCAAATGGGCTGGCTGCGCTTCTCAATTTAGCTTAAGATTGGGATTGTACTTGTGTGTGTACGATCTTTAAAGCTTCATTGATTAATATATCTATTAAAAAAAAAAACCTCACATGGCATAATATTTATTGAGCAACTCTATTAATCATCATTATTTGAAATATTTTCTGCTAAATCGATATTTATCGATAATATGCAGACGTGAGATGATATTTCAAATTATATTTTCTAGCTTCAACAGAGAAGTAGGATGTGGAAGAGAATGAAATCAATTTCCCAAGCTATATCTTATATAAAATATCATTCCATTATTCAGCTGTAATAGAAAATTTTCTGATTAAAGGTTGATTGGACTTACCAAACTGTGTCGTCTTATATACCCACTTGCATGGCGTTAGTGCGTACAGGGTGTGGAATAGAAATGATGGTAAGCAAGCAAAAATACACATATTAAAACAACGACAACGTACCCAATACGTATTCAGGCTCAAGCCGAGAGCTTGCTCCCGCATGGCCAACGAGCATTTGGTTCGGGTCTTGTTTGGCTGTTTAAACCGCAATACAGATAAAGGCCAAATTACTTTTTGGCCAAGACGCTGCCGAGATGCAGAGCCACAAGCCGCAAGCTGAAAACTAAACACAGCACTGGACAATTTGCCAGCTAGATAGAAGCAGGAAGGAGATTGGGCGTGGGCGACTGGGAGTGGCCGTGGAAGTGAGAATGTCCCAAGCAACTGCGATGCTAAAATATAGTTTGAATGCGTGTTGAAAATGGGTTTATAGTGATCCTCTTGAGAATAGATGTTGGCAGCAGGATGAAATTTTTGTTCACAGAGATCAAGCGTAGCCTGATTTATGAAGCTGTTTGTTGACATTGGCTTATAGCCATGAAGTTGAACGCTGAGCCGGCGCATTTCTCCAAGGACTTTGCCAGGAGAGCAAACCCAATGGGTCGCAGAGCTGCAAAGTAGTTCAGCTGAGTTGAAGCTGTGAAGGAAACGAAGAGCTATTTCTGAATCAAGTTCAATCAGAAATTTATCTAGAGGTCTGTTAAAAAAAGATATGTTAATTTACAATAGCCATAAGACACAGATAAATTTAAGCTAAGTTCGTCTATTCAGAGACAATTCTAAAGGGCTTCTCGTAGTGCAACATCTATGAAATGCCGCAACGTTGCAACGTAAAAATTGAAAAAAAGAAGCGACACTGATGCCAGGGCTTAGTCCTAGCCGATTGCAAAAAAGGGGGCAGAGCTCTGCCAGGAACTACCACACTCTCGACCAGGAAACGGGCAACGTTGAGGCATGCGGCAAACTTTGGCTGTGCCACAGAATTGGTTGCCAGCAGGCAAAGGCAATGACTGCTGTGGCTCTTGTTGTTGTTGTTGCTGTTGCAACGATGCAACCACAAAAATAAGTGTTTACAGCATTGATTACAAGCGTTGGGCGTGGGCGTGGCAGCAGCCACGTTGATTAGAATTTAAGCCACAAGGATTTTTGCATTTCTTAGATGCACAGCCAACAACAGGCTGCGGCTGCCAGTGTGGCCAGAGTCAGGGCAGCGTGTCAGTAGTGTCATGGGAAATGCCAGCGACCACAGAGCTGTCGGCTGCTGTGGTGGTGCGGTGCGGTGGTTTAGGTGTCGGCTCGGCGGCCACATACAATTGACAAACTGTGAAACCCTTTTTGTGGCACTTCCGTTGCGTTTGTTTGCCACAGTTTACAATGCAACAACGACACATAGCACAGCGGGAGCAGGAGAGGGGGAGAGCTGCCTTGCCACGCCTCGCTCTGCCAGTTGCGACAAAAGTTTATACCCAAAGCATTTGAACTGCATTTCATTATGGCACACAACTGCCTGGCTTAGCCAAGGCAAATGCAAATGCAAATGCTGTTGGCGCCATATTGAAAACTCTGTGGCTGCCACCTAGCCGCCCAGTGCCACGCCTCCCCCCTGTGGGCAAGCGTGCTCCAAACGAAGCGTATAAGTGGCCCTTATCGTGCCTGCAACTGGAGTTGAAGGCGGGCAGCATACAAAATGGGGCTGGGCAGGCGCTATCGGAGTTACCAAGGCGAGCAACCAGCAGCGGGCAACTGTCGAGGGGCAAGGGGAAAGGGGGGACTGATGGCTGCTTGTATTGTCGAGTGCGTGTGCAAGTGTGTGTCTGTGTGTATATTGTATTGGCAAATATTCTCATGACAATAGGAATTTTTATTGAATTTATGCAAAAATTGCAAATTTCATTTGGCCCACAGTTGTTCGTTCCAGTTGTTGCTGTTGTTGTCGCCCTCTATTTTTTTTTTTACACTTGCGCAGTTTGCGTTGTTTATTAAAGTTCGAAAAGCAATGTAATATTAAATGGGCTTTGACAATAAATACGTGAGAGCTAAATTTAATTTATCAATAAATTCCCAAAGCTAGTTATCAACGAAAATCGTTTTTTGCAGCATAATAAATAAATTGGTTTATTTTTATATATAAGTAAACGATATAACATTTAGATTTGATATATATATATATATGAACTATAAGCTTTGATTTTCCTTTTCCTTTCTAGCTTAGCTCTCCTATTAAATTTATTTTAATATTTATTTACTTTATTATTTTTTGATTGATTGTTTTCATTTATTAAACAAGTAAGAAGGCTCCAGTCGAGACTGCTCGACTAGGAGATACCCTGAACCCTCCAAGCTGATATTCTAATCATTCTGCACTTCTCCTATGTACACATACAAACACATGCACTTATAAGCACGCGCTCTGCTAACTGCGCTTGGGCTGCGCTGCAATGTGGGTAATATTCTGACAATTTATTTGTTGAATAATTTCTTTTGTAGACATACAATCTTAATGAAACTTTCAGAGCGTAATCATATGGTTAAAATGTGTGTACATTCCAAAGCACAGTCTCTAGTACTTGAAATGCGTTTTTTACAATTTGGGGGCGAAGGGGGCGTGGTATCCAAAATCTGTAAATAACAAAATCTTTGTGTCCATTAGCTCTATATACAACGCATATTTGAAGTCTCCAGGTCTAAAAGCGTTCAAATTAGGCTGAAAAAACCAAGTCGATTTTTCGATTATTCTCGATAAAAAAGTTATCGGATGAGTTATCGAAAAAATAAAGCAAACTCGTACTGCCTATGGTATACACGAGTATGCATGCCAAATTTCAGCTCTCTAGCTCTCATATCTTCTGATTTATGCTCATACGGACGGACGGACGGACAGACGGACAGGGCTATATCGACTCAGCTCGTCGTTCTGATCAAGAATATATATACTTTATGGGGTCTGCGATAATTCCTTCTGCCTGTTACATACTTTTCACAAAACCATTATACCCTGACTTCCCATTTTCAATGGGTTCAGGGTATAAAAATTGATTTTTATATAAATTTTGTTCACACTTTTTTGCTGAATTAATTCATTCATTTTATTTCCCTTTCTTTAGTGTATCAACATGTCAATGTATTAATACGTATGTTTATAAATCAAGTGCAGCTTAGAAATCGGAGCGTACTTTATCCAGGAAATAATCGATATACTTTCCCTGCGATGGATTGAGTGAGCGCGCATTGTCCACCGCGGTCTGATAGCCACGTTCATCGTTCATCCGCTTGCAGGTCCCGGCCCTGATTAGCCAGGCGCGCAGGCAGCGCTCGTCCAGGTTCAGTAGGATATAGTCCAGATCAATTAGGGCTCGCTTGAAGGCGCGTTTCCTGTCCATGGAGGAGCTCATTAGATAAATAGAATCGGTAAAGTTGGATAAGGACCTACTTGGCGAAGCAGATACTGCGATTCACATAGAGAACTACCGAATCGCTGATATAATCAATGGCTTTCGTATAATACTCGATCGCCTTGTCAAAGTTCATCTTGCGATACTCAGCGTTGCCCAGTCTGCGTGAGAATCAATTAGCGGCATCAGCAAGCTGAGCATTTGATCGAATTACCTGCGAAAATTGTTGGCAACGCGAATGCGTTCATCGCGCGCCTTCGCACGTGAATCGTAGCTAAGTCCGATCTGGCGCATGAACGTCATTTGCTCCAAATTCCCAGGTATTTCCGACCTTTTGCTCATTTTCTTATTTACGGACTCTTTCTTGGTATACTGTCTTCTTTCAATTGAAAGGCGCGACATTACCAAAAAGCTGTCCTCCGTAACACCCGCACTATAGTCAATGTCCACCTTGGCCTCCTTCTCCTTCTTGCCGGCGCTAAGGGGAGGAGGATGCTCTATCGATCACATATCGAGAAATGTACGGGCTTGAACCTACTCCATTTGGTTGGCCTTTGCCAATTCTGTGAGGAACCTGAGCAGATCGTCCACCAAAGAGCCCCTACGCAAGAAGTTCTCCTCCAGCTCTGGGTGGACCAGGGAAGACATTGTGTTTGTGTCGTTGTTGTCTTCCTGTGATTTGTTTGTATTGTATTTGTTGTTGTTTGTTTGTGTTTTGTTTGTCTTTGTTGTTGTTTGTTTGATTCAGTTTCCAATACTGAGTTTATGTTTATGTGTGCTCGCTCCCATGATTGAGAATCCAGATCGCAGCCTACTCACACAGCCCAACAATTCCAATGCAATAGGATTATCATCCTGCTGCTTCTCTCACTGATGATGCAATCGCAACAATGACTTATGAACCATTAAAACTTCCGATTCACATAAATATCTATAGCGAATTTATTTAATTTTTCTATTATTCGGCAAATTCCTACGCCGAAAGCGAGCTAGGCTTACCATCGTAGGAAATGTTTTTCTTGATTACTATATAAAATGGGGAGTAAATACAAAACGAATCGTATTTCAACGAAATGCCTAAATAAACACAATTGTTAGAATTTGCATTCAATCCAACCATAAAATGTGAATAATCAAAAATCTGTTCTCATTTTCTCTAGGAATTTATCAACAAAGCTGACGAATTCTCTATTGAATCGGCGCGCATTATCAGCGCACTCCTTGTAGCCTGCCTCGTTGTTCATGCGCTTGAGGGTGCCGGCCTTATAGAGCCAGCCTCGCAAGCTGTGGAAATCCAGGTGGTACAATACATAATCTATGTCGATTATGGCCCGTTTGTATTCACGTTTCCTACAAGTATTAGACGACTATTAAACTCGGAGTTGTTTGAATATTTAGAGGACTCACTTAACATAGCATAGAGCGCGATTGAGGTAGAGCACTTGGGTATCGGATATGTATTGCAGACCTTTGCTGTACATCTCAATAGCCTTTTCGTAGTTGGGCTTTCGGAACTCCGCATTGCCCAGTCTGCGACAGAGACAGAGAAAGAAAGAAAGAGAGAGAGAGAGAGAGAGAGAGGGAGAGAGAGAGACAGGGAATGAACAAACTTTTCGAAAAGAATCAGAGTTAATCTCAGCTACCTGCGATAATTGTTTGCAACGCGCACTCGCTCCATCCGAGCGGTGTTGCGCTGATTCGGAGTGACATCGATTTGGCGCATAAAGGTCATCTGGTTGAGATTGGACGATTGGACACTACTTTTCTTGATGCTCGGCTTTTTCGTGCCCTGTGGGCAACGTTCCATAACCAAAAAATTGGTTTCCGTAACACCCGCACTCAAGTCCACCTCGACTTTCTCGTCTTTCTTCTTTCTTAAAACAAATTCAGGTTACCGACTTATCAAGTGAGTAGCGGCTGCAGGCACTTACTCCATTTTGTTGGCCTTACCTATCTCGTCTAAGAACTTGAACAGATCGTCCACCTTCGAGGGCTTCAGCAGAAAGTTCTCCTCGAAGTCGGGATGTTGTGTAGAACCCATTTTGAAGAGTTGTGAGTTGTGAGTTGTGGCTGTGGTTGTAGTTCTGACTGTTGAACTTGTTCGTTTGACTCAATTTGTAGCACTGACCGAGCTGGCAGCTCCAACGTCAGCTCCGACTTCATCAATTGCCAACGCACAGCCAACTTAGCTAATATACCGAACAGCAATAATCATTTGCTGCAGCTGTGCAAATGTGGCTGCACTTCCGGCTGCACCACCGCCAACCACCCGCCGTCTGGACAGCCAATTAGCCCTGGCCAGCAGAGAACAGCGAGCAGCTAGCAGCTGGCTCGTTAGCCAGCATGTGGTTTTAAGGATTAGCTCAATTAAAATTTTGTGGTATTAAAATTGTCTTGCAAAATGAGCGAAAAAGTGACACAGCATAGAGAAGAGAGAGGGAGAGAAAGAATGGGCGAGTGAGAGGGAAACTGACTGCAGAAATGCTGTAAAAACCACGTGTATTTCTCTCCCCAGGTCTAACACATCTTTATTTGCGCCTGAAATTATTTAATTGAGTTTGTTTGAAAATTTCTTTTAAATTAAGAAAGTTTCTGCACGTGACTCTTTTGTGGGTTGTCGCAACTTTTTTTCGTTTCTTTTTTGGGGCGCGCTGAAGCTGCTGCTGTTGCTGCTGCTGCTGTTACACAGCGCACCACACGTGCTGCAAAATGTTAAAGTTTGAGGCAATCAAAGGGAACATAATCAGCCAAATCACGCATACGCCATGGGGTACAACTGACAGGTAATAGCTGATACAAATGAAAGATTAAGTAACGCAGAAGATAATTGAGAGCTAAGTTTTAATTATGACTTATTACGATGGGGACATATTCGACAGAGATTCCAATTTTAGTTAAAAAGTTCGAATTATTTGCACTTGGCTAAGGATTTATAGTAGATAGTTTTGCTATGCATTGGATGATGAGATGTTAAGAATCTTAAATATACGAACAATCGAACGAAAGCCTGTCTTCTTGTTTGCTATATAAGCTTAAGAGGTATTGCTTATAATAATATAAGACATTATATGTATTACATTGTAATACGATCTGAATTCGTTATCATAGATTTTAAGCGGAATAATTTTGAATTTTCGAATTTCTGGCATATGTATATTCGTAACATTAATTTAGTATTTAAAGTCATGGTAGCTCTGGCAATGTCTTAATAGACAATAAGCAAACCCTTCATATATATATTTTTACAATATATACTATACATAGTATTTCTCTAAATTTTGGAAAAATTTTGCTCACGTCTCGTAGCACTTGCTCATTAATATTTGCTACAGCTCGCTGGAAGTAGATCTTGTTACGAGTAACGCTTGGCTGACTGTTGACCGTTGACTGCTTCCTACTGACTGCTGGCTGGTCATTGGCACAATAACCCACTGTGCCACTGAGCGGAATGCAACACGTTGGCTACGCTACGGGTGGGCGAAATGTGGGGCAGCTGGCTGTGCGTACGCTGTATGAGCGTGGGGGCTGTCACGCCGGACATTGATGACTGCATTGACAAGTTGCCCTGCTCGACGACGTGCGCCTGCCTCCAGAGAAATGTGTCAAGCGCGGCATGTTGCGCTGCATAAACAAGCAGTTCACGCCACACGGCGGGGTCTGTGGCAGCCAATGGGCAGCTAGTGCTCACTTGACTTTAAGAATACGAACAAGCACTGCTGCTTATTTTTTTTCGCTTTCCTTATACCCTGTACAAATTTGCTAGGAGTATTGCAGGTTACAAATTGAAGCTGCTACAGCATTTCGGTAATTTTTTGTCTAGTATTTTTGTATCATCATACAAATTATTTTAGCCGTAAGCCTACACATATTTTCAACCTTTCCCTTAAGTTCGCCAAAGTACAGAGCATCGGGTAGTCGCTCACAGCCGCCTCGCAATAAACTATGTCAAAGTTGAAGTTGAAGTTGAAGTTAAAGCGCTGACCGCCGCGAGCTGCACGAATATTTTTTGAACTTGCCTTTCTGCACAAAAATAAATATATAGAAATGAAAAGAAACCAAAACGAATTTCGCATGCTCTTTCACGACAACTATGACAATTATGAGACCCCGTGGATAGATATTGACAGAAGTTTCAGTAACAATATATGTATATACATATATACATAAATCTTTTAATTTATTTCATGGCTCCATCTTTGGTTACCCAAGCCTAGCTACTCGTTTAGGTTAGGGAATACGAAAAAATTGCTGGATGACATCAACTTGGGCAAAGGGCGCTCATCCTGCTGAAGTGAAAGACAAGCAAAAGATTATACCTGGCCCAGCCGCTGGGCATGCTTTGTAATGGAGCAAGACTCAGGCTGAGTCTGATGAAGATGAAGTTGAAGCTGGAGCTGGAGCTGGAGTTGGCGCCTGGGCCTGGGCGGGCAAAAGAGCTGCATGCTGAAATAAATTGCACAAGTCTTGGCGCAGGCAACAAAATAAAAAGTTAACATGTTTAAAATGTTGTTATTCACACAAACGAACAGTCACACACACACACTCACACACACACGCAGATACACCGCCTTTGGCTTTGGCTGAGATTTGGACTGTGCGCCAGAGTTGCCAGCCTTCGCGCCGTTGCCTATGTCACATTCCAGCCCCTTTTGCAACATTGTTTGTGTTCGGCTTTTGTGCCTTTGGCCGCCATTCTTTTTGCGCATTCTCCTTTCATGCTGTCACCTTTTGCTTTAGCGTTTTTTATTTACCTTGTTAACCTTTTCATGTTGACAAACTGCTTCAATGTAAATGTGTGCGTGTGTTTGCGTCGAGGACACAAAATGGCGATATGAAAAGTGGAAATCTGTTGAAATTTGTTCCAGCCAAAGGCATTTGTTCTGCTGACTTACTGTCGCTCGGTTGCAAATGCGCTTTTCTTTTAGCAGCCAAGGCTGAAGATTTAAAGCAGCACCAAAAATACAAGCCGAAATGAGCTAGTGCACCAGCTTATATAGCGACTAGAGAGCTCTATGCATGCCCGAAAAACGGCGCTCGAATTAACAATGAGAAGTATATGTGGAGAGACACAGAAGCCAAGCCGAAAACGATTCGGGTGAAAGAGTGCGCTCGTATATGACTCGGAGGCAGTCTATTCAGCTGAGAAAAAAGAATTGAAGGAGTGGGAGTTTGATTTAATGAGTTGAGTAAATGAGTCGATAAGTTCGCACACAGACAACTAAATGCATGGGACTGCAAGTGTGTGTGCATACTCGTCGCTAAAACACATTCTTAATGCGCATCAAAGCTTTTATAGCCTTCCCACAATTAATTATGAAAACGCGAACATTTTGCATGAGCATGGCAAATCCCTGCAAGAACAGCTCGATATTTTATTCACTCGGAAGAGAAGAAAAGTGATCGTCGCGATCAGATATCAATTTTCCTATATAGAAGGAGAGAAAAGAGCGCACAGCATATAAAATCATGTTTATTCTTATTCGATCGCTTGCAGCGGACTAATGTGCCTTCTTTTGAGTGCTCGAGCGTCAAGAGACAGAGTCGAGCAATTACGAAGAAGTAATACGAAGTAAAACTTGAGTCACTCTTTACACTTTGGCATTCCGTTTAAAGTTGGATTTATTTGCGTTCGTCTTACTGAATATGAAATCCCTCGATTGATCGGCTTACTTATTTGACTTCGTATCGAATAGACTCTATGTGCCGTATGTTGTGAGTAAAGCCTGCAGCGCTCTAC